GGGCTATAAGACATAATGACAGTTCAGACACACAGTACCTGCCAAAAGAAAAAAAATGCAGCCTTCACGAAGGCGTTAGTCAGGCAGCACACTAGCTCCGATCACTGATTTGGCAGACGCCTTGTGCCAAGGTGCTTACCGGTGTTGGGTCCAATTATTTTGGGCGTGCCCGTCATGATCTGCGTTTGTGGGCTTGCCAAACATGAGCCCAACCAAAGCATGTTGCTTAGCAACTAAAACTGCTGACAATGACACAAAGCAAAATTTCAAAGATGATAACAATATATACTGCATCAGTTTTGCCACTGTAACTTCTACGTAGAAGACGGATCTATTCTAATAAAGTAATAATTCCAGTGTACCAAAACTCTTGTTACCTTGTTAACCCAGAATCAAGTCATCAATGATACAAGCCTGTTGGAACTTCCAAAGAGTAGTCTTCCGTAGTCTGATCAGGTTGACTGCAATATTTGTCTATTTCTGCCCAGTGGATATGAAGGTGCCAAAGGAATAAACCGAAAATTCCAACGGCATTCCTTGGATACGTCAATATGCCAATACTTTGCCTTTAACGTGGATATTTCCAAATTCGTTCCAACAGACACAGTAAAAACTTCTTAGCTTGTTGCTGTTGGCTCAATTATGTCTTAGACACGCAATCCTATGTATGTCTTGGACACGCTATCCTATAAATGTAGCAGTGCCAACAACCAGAGGAGTTGATCCAGCTAAGACACCCAAGTAAGCACTAGTTCCTAGCTACGTCCTGTATGAACACAGCAATCCTTCCTCAAGAAGGCAGAAACGATGCACGGGCTATGTGCGCACGAGCAGGGCACGGTCGATGACCTGGCGCAACTTGGCCCGGCCTTGTACGAGTGCATGGCGCATGTGATCGAAGGATCTTTTGAGAAGACTGACCGCAGCCTTAGGAAGATCAGAAAGCTCGCCTCTTTAGTGGACGGGCCACTGCAGCGTCTGTCCATGATAATCGCCGACAGCTTAGCCCGCCGCCTTCTATGCCCCATCCAGGGCTTTGCTGCTGCCCTTATCGACCCGTCTCGCTACCTCGAGCAGGCCTGCCTCCGGTCTGCCCGCGAGAACTTCGCCAGCATCAGCCCCTACCTCAGCACTGGCTTTGTCACTATTAACCGGGCTATGCTGGAGCAAGTCCAGGATCAAAAGGTCACACTCTACTTTAATTTTGCTTAAAGATGCAAAAAACATTTCACGTTATATGTGGCTGTCTAGATATATTTACAGCTATTTTTCCTGACTTAGTTTGGATTTGTTGTTCTTCCTGAATGTGATATGGCATGTCTAATCTAGCTAAGTTAGTCCTTTACTTCACCCGCAAAAAAAAGTTGGTTCTTTTCTTATAGGATTATATAGAAGATTCAGAATCGCCGTTATTTAATGTATGTGTTATGTATTACTGGTTTAGCATGCCAATTTTAGTCAGTACATTGGTAAGCAATTTTTTCCATCTTGTAAAATGTTTTGTTGAGCTATCTGTTGAACAGTTAATAATATGCGGAATTGAGGATTAGATCCCAGGATCATCAATAGTTGATGGGAATGAAAATCCAACTTAGGTACAGTGCTTATTAGTACCTGAAAGTTTTTTCCCTGAGATGGTAATATTTGAAGATTCTTACTCCCTCCATCTCACTTAGAGGGCATCACAATTTGTTTGGTAAGACCAAGGACAGCGAGCTGGATGTAATCTGGGGTGAAATTTGGATTGAAATGCCCCTAATCAAACATACAACCTCAGTTAATTTATTTCGTTTTGGAAGCCCTGGGTCTGAAATGTTATGTGATTTTTTTTTAAAATACTTATATTAATTTTGGCTCCTTTTGTGACTATATATTTTCTAGTAAACTAGTTTAAAGCCACGTTCTCTTAGGTTCACTGGTTCAATATCACAATATGTGCCTGTATTTACATTGAAAATGGACTTGTATAGGTCAGCAACTCTAAACACATATAGTGTGTGCTTTTTCTTAACTTATAACCTCTCTAGTTATAACCAGGTCCAAGATATAAAATATGTTCAGTTCCTCTTGAATTATTAGAGATTTTTTGGATTCCCTCCTCTTCTGATCAGATATAATTTCTCTAGTTATGTTACTCGATCGATTTGCACCATCAAAATCAGGTCCGATCAAATAGAGTATAAAAACATTCTTGTTTTTCTCAATGAATTAGAGAATTTTTCAGATTTACTCCAGTCCTGATTTCAGGATTGTTGTGGTGCCTCTAATGTTACACCTGGTTTATATGTGTATATAGATAGCATATACTGTTACCACAATATTGATATCCTTAAATAATGTCTCAAATTATGATGCATGTTTGAATAAAAAAAATACTTCATGGAGAGTAAGAGGAATCTACATCCAAGCTTGACGCTTTGAGTTTCTTACTCTATTATACGCAATATTGGTTCTACCAACAAGGCCAGGTTTTCTGTGCTATTGTCCTGTGATATATTTATGACCACTTTGTATGCATCACAAGCTTGAGAACTTCTGAATTCTGATGATGCTGGCACTGCAGGTTGTCCGAATTGTTGACTTGTCCTGCTCAACCACCCACCCGTGGCAGTGGCTCAAGATTCTTCACGATTTCCATGGCCGCCCTGGGGGCCCGCCCGAACTACGTTTAACTGTCGTCCATGAAGACAGTGAGTTCCTGGACAACATGCAGGCGCTCCTGTGTAGGCAAGCTGCTAACCTCAAGCTATGCTTTTATTTCGACAAGGTGATTGGCAAACTCGAGACATTGGACTTCAGCAATCTCCGTGAGATCCTGAAAATAAACTTTGGTGAGGCGGTTGTGATCAGCTGCGCTCTGCAGATGCATCGCCTCCTTGCGGTTGATGACAGCGTAAGCCGCGACGGCATTGCTCAGCTCCAGCAAATGGCAAACATGGCTCGGCTTAAGCAAATGGCCTGCTCAGCATGCAGTCCGGCATCGACACTGAACTATCCGCAGACACCATCCCCTCAACGCCAGATACCAAGCCTGCTGGTGAGCTTCCTCTCTGCCATCCGTGCCCTTGAGCCGAAGATCATTGTGATGATGGAGCAAGACGCGGACCACAATGCCCCGCTGTTCCACGATCGGTTCACCAAGACAGTCGACTACTACGCCGCCCTCTTCGACAGCCTCAATGCGGTGGATTCAGCCAGCCCGCAGAGGGCGCGCGTGGAGAGGGTGCTCCTTGGCGAGGAGATAAAGAATATACTGGTATGCGAGGGGGTCCAAAGGCTTGAGCGGCATGAGAAGCTGAGCCAGTGGGAAATGCACATGCAGCGTTGCGAGGTTGACCATGTGCCCCTCAGCTTTGAAGCCATCAGGGAGGGCAAAGAGAGGC